GTGAGGGGAGGAGGAAGGAGGAATCTACCCATGGCAGAAGGGATGATGGCCAAGCTGAAAAGTCTGAACTTTCCTGTCCTTATCCCTCTTATTTGATTGCTTTGCTTGAGGACATTTTTTTCCTCTTCTTTCCTATTTTCCATTTCTGTAGCTAATCCTGAGCTAGCCAGAGCATGCCCTGGAGTGCACAGCAGCCAGCACAGGTCCACGTGTTTTTCTCAAGCACTGCAAAGCACAGCTGGCTTGCCCAGCTCTGTTATGCTGTTCTGTAATTGAAGGGCAGGGAAGAGGCTGGGGTGGTTTCCATCTGGCTGTGCAGGGGAGAGGATACTCCTGTCTGTCACTTCCATCCTGCTGGAGAGAGGTGCTTTTCCATGGCCATCCCCACTCTGGTCTGCATTGCAGTGATCTCAGCTTCCTATTGTTACCCTACTGTAGGCTGGGGAAGATGAATGTGTTCCATGTGGCCCCCTGCTGCAGCCAATGGGGCTTCCTAATGTTGATGGTTGCTGGACAAAACTTCTTGACTGTAAGCTGAAGAATTGGATATTCTGAATCTTCTTGCCAATTATTAACCTGCTCCCTCAGGGAAAATGTACCACCATGCAGATTGCCAGGACAGTATAGAGGCACCAATTAAATCCTTGGCAGAAGTGTAAGCAGTACACGTTACAGCAATTGCTGGCCTTTCTACTCTCTGTAATATCAGTGTGCTTACTGCTACTGTCTGTGCAAACAGAGAGGCATGGAGTTAATAGGTAGCCACAGCAGTGTACTCAGTGTGTCCTTTGCAAGGGTCATGTTTGGGAATCTCCTTTTCCTAGAATCTCAGGTGCAGTGCAGTGTTCTTCATTGACAATTTAGGGGCCACATAGCGTGTAGCGTGTTCAAATTCTCTTCGCCAGCTAATTCCTTGTCTTCTTTATTACTTTATTTAGTAATAAAGAAGCTAGCTACTTTATTTTTAGGAGACTAATAAAATGCTACAACAGTAGTAATCCTAGAGCTATTTTTGTCCTGAACAGTGCGGAAGCAGCTGAACTTACATAGGGAACACTGAATCCTCGGTGAAACATAGGTGCCTCTTGGTGCTCTGACATAGGTGTCTCACACACTCTGAGATGAATGGCTTTGTGAGGAGATGACCTTGGAAGATGGTCCCATTTCCACTTGGCAGTAGGGAAGAGGAGAAAAATGATTCAAGCTTGACCAAAGTGATGGTGGGAACATGACTCCTGTCATGAAAAGTTCCTCCTTGGCTGAGATGAAGTGCCTGCTTCTTTTCCTCTGACTATACTGGAGGCCTCAGGGCCCAAGCTCACATTTAGATGTCTAACTCTGAGATGTCTAAATTACAGCAGAATGAGGCCACCCTTCCCAGCCAGAATTTGCCAGGCTCTTTGTGTCTCCTTGTGAATCTTATCCCCCAGAGCTTGCAGACAACATATTCCCCATGGCTTATTCCTCTACTGGCACTACAGGAGATAATTAGTGCGTGGCTAAGTCATATGTGCTGAGGGTCAGAAAAGACAATGAAGCAGATTTTCCCCTGGAGTAAAGAAATGTCAACAGAGTTGCACTGCAGTGAAATGATGGGATCTGTCAGTGACCCTGGCCCTTTCACTGAACAAACAGCCCGGGGCAGTGCCTTCCTCCAGAAGAATGGCATCCCCTGGCAGCCAGGCACCCTTGTGAACACACATGGTAGGGCTTTCCCAGGGGTTGGCATCCCCAAGAGACATGCTGCCCAAAAGGGCAGCAGGGGACTTGATACAAAACTCCTGTGCACAACGTAATTCCTTGTATGCTACTGCTTGGTATTTCTGTAAAAGCACGCCTCAGCCCTCAAGTGAACAAAGTACCTGGCTTTGAGGGCAGCAGGAGGAAGAACACAAACTCAAAAAACCAATTTCCTAGGCAATTTTGAGATATTTCAGTAGCACTTGGAGATAGTAAAATGCAACAAAGACAGACTGGTCATCTTTGTCTTTGCCACACAAAGATCAAGCAAGGTCTACTGTCTTTTACGTCCTTCAGTTCAGTTCTTCTAGTGCACAGGCATTATCCATGTGAATTAAAAGGCGCATGACTAATGCTATGAAAGAAGGTATTTCTCCATTTGCTTCAGTGCTTCCTTCAATAGGAAAATTCTCTTTATTGTGTCTATGCTCCATATGAAAACTGCTCCTCATTTGTACCCGTCATCTCTCTCCCCCGGGTCAGTTACCTGACATTATACAGCACAGTATGGAGACCCAGAGTAGCTACACCATTGGTCTGGGGTATGAAAAGCAAGAAAAGGCTCTTGGTTTTTCAAGAGGATCTTGCAGTCCAGGAGAATTTCAACAAACCATGATGTAAAATAAAAATAAGCTCTTTTGACAGACTTGTGCATTAAAACAAAGTAAGCCTCTTTGGTTTCACCTTGGTGCTGATATGCTATAAGTGCCAACATTGCTTTTCATTCTGCTCACATTCCTCTCCACTTACAAGTAGCAGACCAAATGTCTCTAATCCTGTTCTTGGAGATGAATCTGTCAAGTGCATCCCCTTTCATTAGCCTTCTGTGTCACCAATAACTTACTAATTTGTATCTTTGGGACTTAAAACCCTTTATCTGTAAAGGATCATGTACATAGGTGATATTCTAATGCTGTAGTGGATTTTTCCAGTTAGTACACACAGTAAAACCTGCTATGCATATGAGGTTGCAATGCAGCCAATTGCCATTAGAGTACCTGTCCTCTGGTGATGAAGGCAGTGTGTTCATTAGTGCTTTCAGCTCTGCACTGGCAGATAGCCTCGACGTGCTGGTGTGTGAGGATGGTTTCTACAGGACTTTGGGTTAGAGCCTCGCTCTTTCAAGCTGCTTTTAAGGCATGATGCCTGCCTTTTCACTCTGCATTGCAGAAGTAGCTACAATCCTGTCATATGGGTGGTTTATAAAACAAATGGTGTCTTCAGTCAGTGAGGGCTGAGACAGCCGAGAGAAAGTAACGGCTGGGCTGTGTTGGGGGCAGTCTGGCTGGACTTGCATGCAGTAGTACCAGGAACCCACCTCGCCTCTTGGTCCAGAGTTGGAATATGGTCCTAGACTGGGCACTACAGCCCAACAGAGCCAACCCCCTTCTTCAGATGCCCATCCTACCTCCCCAGCAAGATGCAGAGCCCAACTGCCACCGGCCAGCAACAGGTCGTGGAGGCCCTTCAATGCTTTGCTGTCTCTTGGGTGCTGCTTGACTCCTAAGGCATCACAGCAGTGAGGAATGAGATGCCCAGGACTGTCACGGGTTGCTTGAAGAGACTTGAGAAAATTCAGAGAAGTGTTCAGTGCTGGGAGTCAAGGCAGCTTTGTACCACTGTGAATCAGCCTGCTTGCTTAGGCACCCAGGTTGGAACATGTTGGCCCAAATAACTGGCTTTGCACAGTGGATTAGGGGAGATCTAGGATTATAGGGATTCAAGAGATCTTTGTATACTGTCAACAGCCATTTAAAAATTGCTCTACATGGGGCCTAAACTCGGGCAATTGAACCCTTGACCGCATCCTGTAAAACAGGGCAGCGCCTGTATCCTGGGAGCTGTACCAAGTTGTCTCCGAGTGCTTTTAATTTACTAATATAACTAGTGAGATGTTCATGCTGTGTCCTTGTGCCGTGCCTCCCAGTAGAACAGCATGTCAGGGTGTTAAAAAGATGCCAGTGTGCTTCTGTGAAGGACTTCCTATGGACGATGATTTGCACAGCCCAAGAAAAGTCTTTCTCAGGTGACACATGTAACATTGCAAATATGTCCAAAGCTAATGATTATTTTCCACATAAAAGGAATTTTATTTGCCTTCAGTGACATAGGCCAGTGGGACCTCTTTCTAAAGCTTGTGGTGTTTCCAAGTCTCTAAAGAAAGCGACTGTATGACACAGACCTGAGATAAAAGCTTGGGGTAGAAAGCAGAGAGATATACTCATAAGAAGAGTACAGAGGGCGGGGTTTGATAAGATGGCTAAAATAGAAGGAAACGTAGTAAAACAGAGGGCCTAAAGTGGGAATCCCACTGTGGTCTCAGGAGTGGTATTCAGTGTGTGTTGAAGGCTTCTATAGATCTCTGTTAAATTAAGCAACAAAAGGCCTGTTAGTCAAAAAGACATCCCAAAGAATGAGACATCAGTCATAGCCAATGGGAAAGGCAATGCTCATCTTCCCTGTAGTGCTGCAGAGCTCTGCTGCAGAGCTGCTCCCCTTCCCATGAAGCAGAGGTTGTTAGTGACACAGACAACCATCATGAACATCGTCTTCTGCTCTTTTTAGGCGCTTCTGGCTGATAAGATGATGGTGTGTAGTTCAGCCCCACATGTTCATAGCACACTGGAGTGTGTATATTTGGGGGAGACAAAGTGCTTGTCCTATTTGTTGGCCCAGATGAACCTACAAGGTAGCTGTCTAGGTCAAACCACAGGGTTTTGATTTACAGGCTGGAAAGGGATGAGTCCCCCCGACCCCGCGGGTGTTTGCTTTTGGGTGTGTGTCACTGCTGAACACAGCCAGTGAAGCACTGGGCTGCTCAACTTCCTTGCTGAGGAAGGTGCAGAACCATGCATCTCATCTCCGCATCTCCATCTCGCAGGCCGATCCATCAGTAAAATGGCTTTTCTCCAGTGCAAAAAGTCTGTTGGGATGCTGGGACTCTTGGGCTCAATCACTTACAAGACTTTCTGTGAGAATGAGGGCAGGTGTCAGACCAAAGCATGGCAACATGCTGAGAGCAGTGGGCTCGAAGGGGAATGTTCATTTAGGGGATGTTCTTTTAGGTAAACCATTAGCTGGTTGTGATTCCTGGGAAGGGTCTCGTCAGGCTTGAATGCCTGTTCAGCCTGTGAGGTCAGGCAGCCTGTCCTCTCAAGAAGGGGCGAGATACCAGGCAGCATACCAGGGCCAGGAATGGTTATCAATTCACGAGGATGGTTAGCAACCGAGTAAGAAATGTCTGCTGTACTTTTCAACAGAAGGATTTCCAGACTGCAGTTCAACAAGGTGAAGCTGGAAGATGCTGGGGAGTACAGCTGCGAAGCGGAGAACGTTTTAGGGAAAGACACCGCAAAAGGCAGCCTGAATGTGAAAAGCGGTAAGTGGAGAAGCCAGCAAATGTCTTGAGCTGTCTGCCATTCCAGCAGAAAGCGGGAGGTTCTGCACATGATCTGTCTTGTATTTTGTTTCATGTTTTCAGGATATCGAGTAAAACAACGTTGGGAGATAAGAAAAATGCATCTTAGCATAAATGTTTATCTTTGTCATCTGTCACTAGCAATGTGGTTAATTTACATTTTAAATAAACTTACAGTCTATGTATTTTTTTAAAGGGGTGAGGAGGAAAGAAAGCCAGTGGGCTTGATGTTTTCTTTTTTTAAAGAATTTCTGAGAAGCAAAACTCACCAGAAGACAAGTAATTAAACCATAGCTTTGTGATGAGTGAAGTTGCTTCTGGTTTTCATCCTAGAATGTGTACTCTATCTTATAGAGCTCAGCGGATGGAGTCTGAGGTTAGGTGGTTTTATTATTATCTTGGTCATAGTAATTATATTGCTTAACATGATGGTTTGGATGCACCCTCCAGCTCAGAAAGTCCCTGCAGTGTTTGCCAGGAGCCAGGAGGGTGTGACTTGGGGAAGGATGACTCTCCACAAGCCCTGTTTCCTAAGCTCTTCCTCCCGCCATTCACCACCAGCGCTGCGGGGGCCTGGGCTGCGGGCCCTGCGACCCTTTGGTGTCACCCTGCTTCTCTCTCGTGTGCTTAGTGGCATTAGTCAAATGTTAAGGAAGGTAGCTTTCTTCTGCTGCTTTCTGGCACTATTTTCTCTATTAACCTCTGCATCAGCAGCATTTGCGGTTTTGAATCTTTTATTCTGTGAGGCTGCAGTATCACATATGCCCCCCGCCTCAGTCCCTCTGTGCTTGCAGAGTCTGGAGAAAGGCCACGCATGTTCAGGCCTCCATGCCTTCATGCTTCACATCCATGAGGTTAGCCCTGCTTCTCTGCTTCATTTCTGTCCGATCACGACAGGAAAGCTGTCAGGACAAGCTAGCTGAGGCGGTGCCACTCCTTTTTTTCTGACTCACGCTCTGGCTGTCCCGTCACAGTGTAACCTGCTCCTGTTTTGACTGGGAGCCGCACGTGCAGCCCCCCCATCCCCACGTGCAATGTGCAAGGCAGCATGTCCCTGCCCTCAGAGCCCTCTGCCCCCACCACCCACCTCTCCCGGCCACCAGCCGTCCCCTGTCTCAAGAGGGAGAGTGTGATGAAGCAGCACTTGTAGCAAGGCTCTGATCCTGCTTGCTGCTTGTGGCACCAGTAACATGGACATCAGGCCACTGGGATGTCCAGCCGCCCTGTCCCACGTGCACAGTCAGTGGCAGCATTTGTTGGGGTCTAATTCTTCCTCTGCAGGAGGACATGTCATCTGGCAAGGACAGACGGCTGCTCTCACTCGGGTCATGGAGGGTTTGAGGACACACCTGAGTTGCCCAAGAAATGTGTTGAGACCTGAAAAGCAACCAAGGAGACCCAAAGATCTGGCCTGTACCTTTTCCAAGCGGCTGCGAGGCACTGCAGACCCAGCAGGCTGCCTGCTGTGCCCTGCGGTCACTGTGCCTTGGTTAATCCATTCTCTAAGCTGCCTTGCAAATCCACCCTTGCCTTGTCACTTGTAGCTGCTTGCACACCTGGCTGCTCCTGTCACCCGGCAGGACAGCAGTTCAATGCTAGTTGTAGTCCCTTGCAAAGTTAACAAGATGATGGTGATCGCTGCAGGCTTTTGCAGCTCTGGCAACCACTTTGCACTCTGTTTTCACTTCCCCCCGGAGCTACCCAGAGCCGAGCAGCCTTCATCTGTGCCCAGGCACTTGCTGTCCTGGAGTCTCCCTCCTTCCTTACTGGTGGGCTGTCTTGGGACCTTGACAGCTTTCCTCACTTCTGCAAGCTCCCTTCTTCTGTGTCATCTTTCAATAGAAAACTTATCAGGGCATCTCCTTGTCTCTGTGTGCTGTCTTCTGTCCCTGCCTGCATTCTTCTCCAGGCTCCTTAGCACAGATGCTGTTGTGGCTAAGTCTCAACACAGTGCTCTGTAAAGATCTAGCAGTTCATAACAATTAATCTAAGCAGACATGCGAGCTGGCCTCCCCTAGGAGCCTTCCCCCCTCTCCCAGAAGTTCACTCCAGCTATCGCTGTTTCTGTATGTTCTGCTGCTTTATATTCTTCTTTAGTGCTGCCCCATCCCCAGGAACCTTCTGCATCTTCCTGTGCTGGGCAGGCTGGCTGGGACTGGTGCTCTGGAACCGACTGCTGGACTGATGGTTTCTGAACTGTATCGTTGCTGTGGTGAATCCAGGACTGGAAAAAAGTCCTGAGCTAACACCGCATCTTGTGATACAGAGACACTAGGTCTGAAGACATCTCTGGGTGCCCCTGTAGAGAGGTGGCATGGCAAGAGGTGGCTGTTGAGGCCTGAGATGAGCATTGTGGAGGAGTGAGGCATCCTCAGCCCAACAGGCTATTTTCCTCCGGGGGTGCAGAGGCCAGGGAGAGGCTCCTGAGCCTGCTTGAGTCCTCGCTGGCAGAGAAGGAGCTCACACCTGAGACCCTCAGGCCCATGGATGTGAAAGTCTGAGATTTGGTCTCTGTTGGTAAAAGTTTCTCAGCCTGATAAGGCAGTGTTGCCATTGCTCTATTCCACTTACACATTTCGGTTTATACAATTTTCCAAAGAGCACCTTTTCGGCCATGCAGATCTGTTGTAAATCACTAAAAACACCACACTGATGAGAGATTTTCTTCAGAAAGAGAGTGGCTGCAGTGCAGCAACCCCTTGTCACTTAGAAAATGCCGGTCAGCCAAACCCATCACCTCATCTCTCCTCTGCAATTCTCTTATTTCTGCAAAACTGCCATCTCAGAAATAAATGCTTTTGCATTGAAAAGCTTTGGGAGGGTGTCAACTTCTGAGGAAATGCTTCTGGGCTTAGCCAAAACATATTGTGCTTTGGTGCTATTGTCAGGTTTTTATTACTTTGAGGTAAATTAGATGCTTTCTTAGAAAAAATGTCCCATTTCCCAGTTCTCTTTATTGAGTTGTCTAATACTGGTATCACAGCGCCATGAAGGCACAGCTGAGTTTCTGACTGTTTCAGACTCTTTTTTTCCTCAGAAAATTTTTAGGCACCTCCTTAACTGACACCCCCTCCCTCCCATTTGCCAAATGCTGCAGGAAAAATCAGACTTTTACAAAAAATTCTTTCTGCTTTTACTTTTCCATGGTGGTCTCATCCCCTGCCTCTGACAGGGTGCTGCACACCCAGTGTATGCTCCTGGAGCTCTCTCCTTTGCACACCTAAAGGGTGGTGAGGGGCTTTGATCCAGAAGGGGCTGTTGCTGCTGGCGGGCTTGTGTGGACTGTGGACATTGGACTTTCCCATGTGCTCGGCTCCCGAGTTGCCTTGGGTCGTGGCCTTCATCTGTTTCATGTTCCTCCATCTCTTGTACGAGCATTACTTTGTGCTGCAGAACCGCAAATACTTGTGGGATGGAGGCTCTTCAGATGATCTTTTCTTAAACTCCACGTTTTTCTTGCTGTCGTGTTCTGTGGTCCCGTCTCTTGTGGCCATCAGGGCTAAGAAAGCCTCCCACAGTTTTGCTCAGCACCTGCCAGGTGAACCCTGAGCCGTTTCTGCTTTTTGTCTTGACAGGGATGCTAATGGCAGGAGGCCCATTACGGTGAGGGGACCAGCATGCCCTGTGCCATCCCCTGCAGTGGCACTCGTTTATCTGCCTCTGTCACCCAGTTGCCCATCTGAGCGTATTCTAACCGGTACTAACATGTTGACCACCACCCCAATCTGCGCCACCCAGCAGCACCTACTCTTCTCCTCTTCTCTGCAGTAGCTAAGCCCACTCTTCTCTGCTCAAAATAGATATTTTGTTCACTACTTTCTTACCTTAATTTCCCCAGGAACAACGAAAGCACCACAAGTCTTACCAGCCTCAGAAACTAAAATAGTTGTTATGGAAGAAGAGTGTAAGTACCTCTCCCCCTACTCCCCCTGCATAGCTTCCTTCCCCTTATTTGTTTTGTTTTTATAGACATTTTGCATAAATGCTTTGTTGCCTCCTGGAATCTTCTTTAATCACTACTTCTCTTTGATTTCTCTGAAAGCCACTGATCTTTCTCTAGATCTTTCAAAAATTATGATTTATTTTTCTGGTGTCTGTCTTAGAGAGGGAGAGGTTGATAACTATTGCAATGATAACTATTGCAATGATAACTTGAAAAGCTTAACTTAAAATTACAGATGAATTTTAAGCATTCTCATGGTTTTATTGATACCTGTAAGATGTGCTTTTTATGGCCTTCAATTTAGAAGAGTTTTTTGTTGGTTTCTTCTTTGGGTTTGGGTGGTTTTTTTAAGGACAGGTGAGAAAACCAAAAGAGGCTTTAGGAAAAAGAAGAAAAAAGATGTGAGTCTTCTAAGCACAAGTCCCAAGAAAATTGCAGCAAATACATCTGCATCCCGCTATCACATTTTTCCTTGAGTCTGCAGAAAGCAAGAATAGATTTCCAAAATTTTTTAATTTGATTTTAAGTAGTGGAAGTGCTTTTTAGCATTCCCTCCTATTCAGTTGTCACAAATTGGGTAGAAAATGGCCACACAAAAGTATGAATCAAAGCATGTATACAGGTGCATACAAGGTGCCTGGCTGTTGGTTCAGCTCTTTCTGGTGGAGGGCATTATTTCTATGTCTCCCTGCTGGGGGACACTGTGCCACCCATGCAGTGTCATCACGCTGGATAGCCCACCAGGATTCCATCCAAACCAGCAGGCACGTGGAGAACAGAGGACCAGGCGGTTATTTTGGGATCTGTATTTCAATTCCAGCTGCTGACGCTCAGGACTAACAGCACAGAGGCTGTGCCTCTCTGTTTGCAATTGTGGGGATGTTTCCTCCTCGGAAAGCTCCATCTTTTATGATTTTAAAGGAAATCTGATTGCAGCCAGAGCAGGGACTGACCAGGTATCCTTTAAAAGCTTTTCTGATTTGAAAACTTAAAGTTTGCGCATGTTGTACTTAGCCTTCCACTGCACTGGGGGACAGATACAGCACCGTTAATCCAGTGATCATCCTTCCCCAGGATTTTCCTTTGTGTTCACCAGCACAGATCCACACTACATGTTTGCATTGCATTACGTATATGCTGTTTTAACTAATTTGCCAAATTTCAGCAATAGAAGAGAAACTAGCAAAATGCCCTGTGGCTTGCACAGAAGTTTCTCCATTTGTAAAACTGTGGGAACATCATCCTTGACTGTCTGTTTTTTTCATAATGTTGTGAAGAGATGCTAAAGTCTGCAGAGTTAAAGTTGTAATTGACTTTTTCCTTCACATTCCTTTTTTATGATCTCTTTCAATTGGTACCTGAATAACACATAGTCCCCCTGATTTTTATGTTATCATATACATATGCATAGCACATGGATATATGGTAATGAAGATGTTGTGAGGTGGGATGATCTGGAAAGCTGACAACTATCTCATTCTTGTAAAATTCTTGCATTTCTTTTCAATATCTGTATTCAAAAGCTTGCCTGGCACCTGTAGGTTGTCCCACCCCTCATTGTTTCACTGAAAGGTTGTAAATGATCCACTGGATTTGAAACACCATAGTGAGAAAGCACTGTGCAAACTTGGTGGTAGCTGCAGTTCTCTGGAAAGGAGAGACTGCCTCGCACAGGCAGCTTGGTCACTCCTGTTTGGCTCCTGGTGTGAGGCAGGCATCTTACCACGTAGACTGGAAAAGGGTGTTACACCTCAAGAAGCTCACCGTGTTCTCTCCATGGCCCAGACAGTCCCTATAGGCAAGGGGATGAAACCCCATCAGGCCATGTAGCCCCACATGCCTCACCCCGTGTAGCCCTGTTGCTCCTGGTGTAGGAGTTTTTAACTAGTGTTTTTCCTGAACATCCCAGTCCCTTACTGGATGATCTGGCCTTTCTTTCTTCCCCTGTCTTGGGAAAAGGAGTGGGATATCACATATTTACCCATTGGAGTACTGTTAAAGACTTTCTTACCACCTCTAAGTGTAGCTGCTAGCAAAACCTGCCACATTCTGAACCACCCCTACCTTCCTTCCTCCTCCTCTTCTCCAGTGGTCACAGACCTCTAGACACTGCCGCATCCTTGACACAAGTCAGGTTTACACACCAGACAGCACTCAAAATGTGGCCCAGGTCTCTAAGGTGTTCTGTCTCATTTCTTGGGTAACTTTTTTCGCTGGAAGCGTATTTTTTGTCCCACTGCTTTCCATATGAGCACTTTCCCATGCCTAGCTGGCACATGACACGAGGCTACAGAGTGCAAGGAGGCAGGCTGGTACCATAGGTTCTTGGAGACATCAGCATTGTTATGATGATGTGTATGAGATGTCTTCCCCAGCTCCTGTTCCACTTGCCTACATGCTGGCTGGAGCAGGACCTCTGGAACAGGACCCCCCTTGACAGGGGCACTGTTTGATATGGGCCTAACAGATCTCATGACAGTATGGAGAAACCCAAGGATCTCATGGTGTTTTCTGGTGTAGAGACAAACCTGATACCAGTCTGTATCTGGAACCAAAGACTTGGAGAGATCTGGGATCTGATGGTGTTGCATTTTGAGAGCTGTCTGGATTCAAGTCTTCCTTGCATCCTTGTCCAGCCTATGTGGACGCAACCTTATACTTGGGGTGAGTACTGGGACCTGCCAGACAGAGAGTTGGGTTTCCTGATGTGCCCACTACGTGGTATGTGGATGGCATGGGGTGCCACTCAGCTTCATTCATTGGTATGGACACCTTCAGATAAGCTAGAGCCATTTAGCAGATGTAACAAGCTGGATCATGGAGTGTGATGACCATGTGGACCAAAGCTGGTGTCAAGATTGACGCTACACAGTGTCAAGCTAGACTCTGAGAGCCAGATTTGGAAAAGAAATCTGATGTCTGGGAAAGTCTTTCCATAATGCTGCATATTTTGACGTGGTACCACAGTACCTTCCTCTGAGTATATGTGTTTGAGTACTGTCAGACTAGATCAGCCATTGAGATGGTTTCTTCAGAAAGCACTGGGTCTCAAAAGAGAAGGCATGCCTACTACTCTTATCAAGAAATCTTCCCGTTGAGCCCTGTAAGCAGGAAATAGTTGCAGTAGCCTCATCCATAGTGAAAAATTGTTAAATAAGACATGTTGTCTTGTGTTTGTCACAAGCTGTGCAGTTGGGTGCTCATAGGAAGGAATTTGCAGGGATGGGGTAACTTGATACGTGCTCTGATGCAGAGAGAAAAGTCCTTTATGCTCATTTCAACATCCAGAACTCAAAATGGTAATGCAATCCTGTTACTGTGCAGCCTGAAGCAGCTAAATAGGGTTGTGAGTCTGGCTACAGACCTGCTTGGTAAACAGAATAGGAATCAGTGTCAAAGTTTAGAAACATTTTGATGGAGGCAAAAACAGAAGAAGGTGCAGAGGAATCTGTAGAGCATTTTGAGATGCAAGGTTTAAGCAGGACAAAGATACTAAAAGCTTATGTAAGTTTTATTTTTAAAAGGTAAGGTAATATTTGAAAGCTCTGAAAAGGTCAGGTAATGCCTTTTTCTTGTTTCCTGCTCTTGTTCTCCTCTAGTTTATTTCCTTGACTTCACCAAACAGGCAAAGTCTGGAGGGTAAAAAGAGAATACAGGCTCACTGGAGGAAGCATGGTTTTGATACTCTCCGTATACTAGAGGATCTGCCAGCATTGGGCAGATGCTCTAAACCAACATGTGGGTCATTGCAGCTGCTCACCTGGGCTCTGCTCTGGCCCTTTGTCTGGGTCACTATCTAGCTAACCTGGTTGAGTGCTTTTACTTTACCAGCCTGTGTAGGCTGGCGGCAGTGGCTGGTCTGTCTAATCTCACTCTACAGATGCTCTGCAGCAGAGAGAGGTTTGGGATCAGATGAGAACATGAAAGAGGGAGAAAGAGCAGGAGATGTAGTGCTGAGTTGTGGTGGTGGGAACATGAGGGCTGGGGGATAATGTGAGATACCTGAATGAAAGCCAGGCTCTCAAAAGTCTGGATTGATTTTTGGGGCCTTTATTTCAGCTGCTGGGGATCACAAGCCCTCCCTGAAGTCTCTTTAGAGATCCCCATGGGAGGGTAGTGAAACAGCCCTTCTTTCTCCAGTTAAGTTTAACTCCACACACAACAATTTGGGTCCACAGATTTCATATCTGTCATGTTGGTGGTGTCATTGGACTTAAGTTTGTCAACTAGTTGGTTTAGACTCGAGCCTGAACGAGTCCCATTTAATACCTTCCCCAATGCTTAGCATGGCTGGGTGTTGGAAATGTTTTCCTTGCCACTCTCCCAGGTGGCATAGGTCTGCTGGATTCACATGATTACAGTGGCTCAGCGATGTCTTTACTGTGATGTGGTTTGTAAGTCACATCTAGTCACATCCAGTTGAATTGAAGCTTCAGCAAATACTATAGTAATAAGTGACAATTAAAGTTCAGACAATTCTCCCAAACGTTCTCTCAAGTCCAGTCTGGCATGGCTTTTACAGGGTGACCATGGCTGACCTGCATGTTAATTGGCTGGTTAGTCTCTGGTCACTCCATTCTGAAGGCACTGTGCCGTCCGGGAGTCAACAATGCTACAAATGGGAGTGTGGTGCAGTTGGTTTGGAGTTGAAGAGTGTCCAGCCAGAGCATGGCTAGAATAGACGGAAAGCACTCCACCAAGGGCCATGCAGACAGACCGGTTTTCAATGTTAGACTAAAAATACGTTCTGGTGTGGCCTTTTCTCAGATAATTTAAAAGCCACAACTGGAGGTGTGGCTGACAATTGAGTGCACGCACACAAGTGTGATGCCTTGAGGTGTATGTGTTGGAGATCTTGCTGTCGGTCTGCAGAGAGCTGTGCCTGTCTGCTGTCAGGTCCCGGTCATTGCTTATTTTGCACACTGTGTATTTTTTAAGTAGCTATCACATCTACTACTCCA